CAGTAATTATTGGGCTAGCTTGTTGGGCCTTGTCCTGTACAATAGGGATCTTGTTCTACCTTTACTGTTAGTTCCTTAGGTATTTTCTTCTGGCCATAGTGGCCAGAACAAAGGGAAAGCAATTTCAAATGAAGCTGATAGACCATCCATACTTCATTGACACCATAGTTGCAAACCATTGAGTCTCATATCAAGACATGCATGCAGATTGTTTCTAAAGTGAGGCTTATATTATGTGAACAAGCAATCAGGTAAATAAGGACATAGGCATGCATTCTATGAAAACAGAGGAAGCAAAACACAAAGGTTAATGCACATAGTAAATCGTAAACCAATTAAGACTTCTAGATGCAAGGCTTTTGCTGGAATAAAAGCAAGCAGTGACAGTCTGATAGATTGTCTGCAGTTAGAATATCTCTGGTGATGTTATCAGGTGCTGAGAGTCTATATGGCATACACAGCACAGACACAGCTTTAAAACAAAACTTTGAAGACACTTAACAGCATTGGAGTTCAGTATTTAAAATTGGGCATTATGGTTTCCACTGAAATACAATTTTTCTCCCTAAGATTACCCTCATTTTATTAAGTCCAACTTTAGTTTGGTGTGATTATTTGCACAAGTACAACAAGAATAGTAATTGATCAAAATGATCACACAGGCTCTTTCAAGTTTGCTTTGCTGGAATTTTTATAAGGAATATGTAGATTGAGCTTCAGTGAACAGTCAGTCCCTCAGGGTGGAGAAGCCAAGCCACAGTTGCCATCATGTTTTGCCTCCAATACCTGGAGATTTAGGTCAATTCCTAAAGTCCTTGAGGTTCCCAAAGATGTCTTGAAGTTCCTTTTTTGCCATCTTTAAGGAAAGCAATCTTTGTTCCTTTCCTGGAAACACTGCCATGAACCATGTGACCAACTAAGGTACAAGACCATTTCGGCAGTGGCTCTTTGATTGGCATTGGAAGTCAATCTTAATTTCTTAATGCTTTTTGGTGATATCCAGAGTCCAGGCAAGTCTCCCTTAGATATGGAATTCCAGTCAAAGCCTTAGCTAATAAAACCACAAGTGAAGACTGGTCTTATTGGATTTCTGCAAAGAAATGTATTGCTATGACTTGTTCATTAAAATTACCAAATTCCAGTGTAATCAGGTAGGGAGAGAAAGCTAAAAGTAATTAATTATCATTTCCTAGGTTGGCAAACACATTCCATGAATTTTAGAAACATAGGCTCTTTGCTGGCAAACACACTGACATTTTAAGAGACATACTTCCATGACGACAGGTATCACATAGCAAAACGCACTGATTTAGCAAACCACAGGTGAACTGAGTTAAACTGATTGGCTTAGATAGCTTAGGCTCAGATAAGATCTATTCTTCAGAATCTGCATTCCAACAGATGACTCAGATAAGAGTTCTTTGAGACCAGGTATTAGCACTTTAAAGGCAGGCAGTCCTTTCTTTGACAAATCCAGAATAAAATCCCTTGCCAGTGTAGGCACTTTTGAGGAATGGAGGTTGTATTACTTACTGACTTTGGGGAGAAAAATCTAAAAAAACCCAACCTTTCGTCCTGTCCTCTGGATTAGAAGATTCGAGCCCGGCCGGGCATGGCTCAGCAGTTGAGCGTCGACCTAGGATCCAGGCAACTGGGGCTCAATTCCTGGTCAGGACACATGCCCGGGTTGTGGGCTCGATCAATGACTCTCTCATCATTGATATTTCTATCTCTCTCTCTCTTCCTCTCCTTTCCTCTCTCTGAAATCAATAAAGATATATTAAAAAAAGAAAAAGAAGATTTGATAGCTGAGGGAGGCATGATAGCCTCCTGTCACAGACTAGAATTTTGAGTGGCCTGTTACCCCTTGCTGGTCATGCAGTCCTATGACCCATCCTACTTAAGCTGACTTGGGGATTCATATTTGCCTACAGCCCAAAGTCCCTTCCCACACCTGGGACAGAGACTCTTCCCAAAACAGTGACACAATTGCCCACCTGTGGGCCCTTTACACAGGAGAGATTGTGATGGCTTCTGATGTTATTGAAGGCTTTCACCCTTTACTGTCTTGGGTAGAAAAATTCTGGCCTTTTTTACTGGCCTCTAACAGCTGGGCTAGGAATCTGTTGTTGTCTCATATCCCTTAAGAGCCTTGGCAGTGTAAGACAGTCTACTCCCTAAGAGGGGAGTGAGAATTCCCTGATAATTCAGCAAGACAGAGGTTTAACACCTGAGCCCTGGGGTTAAATTCTGTTTGCAGTCAGTTTTCAAGATTAGGTAACAAAAACCTTTTATTTCTTTGGGCATCTATACATGAGGCTTTTCTCTATTAGTTATACCTGTGGAAGAAGCATTAATGACAAGCAGCAATGTTTGCTTGAGCAGAAATACATAGCAGTTACGTTTGTAACAGAAACATACAGTGTCAATAGCGAGTATCAAGTGAAAAGAGCTGTAGCTTTTTAGTCCCGTTGCCTAGTTACAACTTCTGCTCCAAGCAACACGGCTGCCAAGGACAGCTACAATAATTTCCTCAAGGAATATGGCTGCTAGGGTGGTGCTCTTTGGCATAGCAATCACTGTGGTTCCCCACCCCTTAGCAATGAGCAAGGGAGGGGGAGGGACCATGCAGCCAGCATTTTGGGATTGCTAGGGCAAGGCCCTGGCAACAGCTTTTCTCAGATGCCTTAAGTCCAGGATTTCTGTGCCACGTCCCCTCACCTCCTTACTCCCCCACCCCCCTGCCCAGGGGCCCAGCCATGAGGTCCAATCTGTGCCCCTAAGCCTGCAGGGCTGGGTGAGGGCACATGGGTGTGCAGCTGCTGGAGAAGGGGAAATTTCCAAGCAGTGTTGTGGGGGGCCCTTCCCTAAGTCACCTGGGGCTCTGGGCTCAGCACTGCTGATGTGTAGGTCCTGGCTACAGGAACCCTGCAAACAATCATCCAGAATGGAGGTGAGAAACTGCCAGAGGGGAATGAATTTGTGTGCCCAGGGAGCACTCAGCTCTGCCAGGCACTGGGTCTGGGAAAGATTTCTTAATCTGAGTGCTGAGTGCGCAGCCACTGTGAATAGGGAAAAGAGCCTGAGGTGGGTCCAAAGCCACCTGCCCAGGCACAGAATTCATGAAATTGGCACTCAGTGTGCACACACTTTCCTTTTGCCTCAAGGGGGTCCCTAGCCACTCTACTGTGATGGTGGCACTGGGGGAGTGTGGGCATTGGCCCCACTGTTGGTAGGGCAGGGATGGTTGCAGCTATGGCCCTAGCTGTAGCCCTGGCCAGGGCACTGATAGATACCCCATCCCCACAAAGCCAGTCCTGGGTCTGGGTCTGAAACCAGCTTACAGGTAGCAGAAGGCAGAAAAAGTAATAAAATTGTCCATATGTTAATCAGTATAGGGGAGAGAGAGAGGAATTACTAAATTTCCAGAATAGGGAAGTCAAATTCCATTTCTCACCATGGTCCAGGCCAGCTGCTTCTTCTGCTGTTATTTTGCTCTCTGAGTTTTGGTTTGGGGGCTGCAACTGGGCTTTGGTAGGGAAGGAGCAGAGAAGGGATTCTTTTGATGCTTCAGTTTTCCTGGTTTCCTTGTTCCATCTGCATCACCATCTGTTACAGGACAGGAGAGGGACTTGTCTCCCTAAGTTGCTCATGGAAGTGGAGTTCTTGGGGTGCTGCTGGACGGTATCAGTAACATGTCAACATAAGAAACATTCATACCTTCAAGGATTTTTATAAGTTTATTTGAGCCAAACTGACAATTGCCAGAAAGCAAAATCTCAATGGATTGAGAAAATGCTCCAGAAAGTGGCAGTTTTACCACTTATTTTATACATCAGAATCAAAGGGGAAGACATAAGGGTGTTACATGAAATTCATTGATGATAGATTAGGGAGGCAGGAGAAAGTAAAGCGGGAAATCCCTGCATTGGACAAAAAGTAAAACAAATAGACACTTCTTTTACATAGGTGGGTATAGGTTACTTAACAATTAACATGGTAACAATAACAATGAGAGGCTTCTGTGGTCTCTTGCTTGGATGGGAGATTGTGCTGTGAGGGGTCTGGAAAAAAGAAATACCCCTGACATTCCAAAGGTATATTATCATAGATGCAAAAAATAGTAGGCTCAGTTAAGGTAAAGATTGACATTTTTCAAGGAAGATACCAGCCTAGGACATCACTACCCATCATGACTTGCTTTTAGTTAAGAAGTTTGAATTTCATATTGATAAGGGGCACTTATAATTTCCAAAGATTAAGCACCTGAATTAATCTGAAATATAATTATATTACTTATAAATTGTAGAACACATATACTTATGTGAGCAGGGGTTTAAGTTTCTTTTTCCTTAAGTTTCTTTTTCCTAGGCCTTTGGGCCTCTACACTCCCCTTCATCTCGGGCAAAGTAATTAAGGAGGTGATGCAGCTATGAACAGTGTATCAGTGAACAGGCATGGTAAAGCTGACTCAACAAGAAATCAAGATATCATCTTATCAAGACATCTCCAGATGACCAAGAACAAAACGATGATGTCTGTGGACTAGCGAGACTGCATGCAGCTGCATTCCATTCCCAGACTCAGTTTACCCCATTTCCCTCTATAACCCTATCTATCCCTCAGGCCATTCCTTAAGACAGGTTTCGTATGCTCATATGCTCCCTGTCTTCTTGGTTGGCCGGCCTTCTCAATAAATGTCTTATATGATTCAACCCTGCCTCCACTAAATTGGGCACAGTGACAGGCAGCCTGAACCCCACTGGGGTTGCCCAGTAACAATACCAACATATGTAGTTACTTTAGTTAGGTCTCTGAGTTTAAGATCCTCCATGTAGGCTTCCCCTGAACTTGTCAGGTTTAGTGTGTGGCCCCTTTTTCATCCACACATGTAATGATAATTATATTTTATTTGTATTAAGATTAGGCTGTAGCTATTCACACGAGAGGAGTTAGAGAAAAGGGGGTATGAAATAAGCCAAGGGTCCCACCTGGTTAAGAGTTATTTCTTTTTTTTAAAGGCATTTTTCAGACTAAAGACAGTTAAGAGACATTGGAAAATTTAGTACTCTTGTCTTCTGGTCCTTACCAGATTTGAGTGGTAACACCCAACTTCAAATAGCTGCCTCTGCAGGAGCCAAGCTCTACCTTTCCCCTCTTGAGTTTCGACCTCAGAAAAGATCAAAAGGACAAGTTTCAAGAACTTAAAGAATTAGAAAGCTCCCCTGTGAAGCCCTCCAGACCAGGGCTTTTGTTTGCTGGGAGTTATTTTTAGAATTTTTTATTACTGCTTCAATTTCCTCAATTAGATTTTCTGATTCTTCCTGATTCAGTTTTACATGATCTCACTCATATGTGGAATCTAATAAACAAAATAGACTGAGGAACAAAATAGATCCAGAGTGATGAATCTCAGTGGGAAGGTGGGGGTGGGGGTGGGGAGAGATTAATTAGAGAATTTATATGCATATATGCATAACCCATGGACACAGACAATAGTGTGTTGAAGGCCTGGAGGAGGGGTGGAGGGGATCAATGGGGAAAAAAGAGGGATATCTGTAATACATTCAACAATAAAGATAAAT